CGCCCCATGTGGCCGTCGTCCGTGGAAGCATCTCTGTCGTGCCACTTGTCACCAAACCGAAACTTAATCATGTAGCCCACGCCTCCATCAGAGCCTGCATAATATTTTGCCGGAAAGATAATGTCCGCCATTATCAATGACCACCTGACCTTTCGTGTGCCTCTGCATAGCGAAAACTCCATTTCCTCGGTTTGGTAGTGGGCCTTTCTTAAACAAATCTAACCAGACATTAGATGTGATGGCGTTTCGCAGGCGAGCCGGGTCACTGGTCATTGTTAGGACATTTGACGAACGAGACGGTTGATCAAAGTTCTTATTCAGAGTGAATATAAAACTTGCAATGGTCTGTATCTTTGCTGTGAGGTTTTTCAATTCTGGATATTGGTTGGGGAGAATTTTGACCAGTTGGCCTTTCGTGGACGTTTTAGAATGTCTGGTACATTCCACGAAATGTTCGGCGTACCTGTGCAATTTAAGGTCCCTTAGATAGGAGGTTACCGTCTTGATGATGATTTTGCCCTCAGGTGCCAGCACGCCCTTATCATCCACGCCACCTAGTTGCTTGAACTCGGCGAGGTCCTTAAAGGTGGCAAAGACTGTGTGTTGTTTGGGGATTTCTCTGTCATGGGCCACTGGGAACATATCGAGGGCTACTTTCTTTAAACAAAGCAAGCAATCCTCTTTCGTTAAATCATCGGAGGCCCTCGAGGAAAGACTGCTGCAGGGAGTAGGGGCACGTAGAAGATTAGAGGGTGAAGCCTCTGTGCCAGAAGTGGAAGTGGGAGTGGAAGTGCCAGGAGGAAGGGCGGGGGTGACATTGCCAGAAGTGAAACTTTCCTGGGGGGTTGAAACACCAGTGACATCCAGGGAATGTAAAAATGCGTGAACCGGGAGGGGAGCATCTACACCTCGACTGGTAGAGGGTCGAGACTCTACGGCAGAATGAGCCGAGGGTAGCATTTCAGGCATGTGTAATGGGGCGGATCGGGACACTGCACTGAGGGGGACTGCTTGGCGTGGCCAGGGTTGGTCCATCACAACCTCATGGCCGTACATATGTAGAATTTTTTCTACGTCCTTGCCAGTGAAGATCCTGCTTGTTCAACTCCTTGGCCTCTGCTAAGTCCTTGCCATGCACGCCAACTAAGTGCTTAGTCAATTCGACTAGGAACGTCGGGTGTGGGCACAATTTGCACTGTTTGGTACCAGGGTTTTTAATGAGAACATATGCCATTGCAAAGAAAGCGAATACTGCTAAGAGAAATAAGATGAAAGATGAATGCAGTTGCCAAGAAAGATGCAAACTGAATGAAACTGCTAGGAACGATGTGCCAAGAGAGATGAACACAGAGGAACGAAAGCCAAGAAAGT